CATCCTCTCCTCTCTCTCTCTCTCTCTCTCTCTCTCTCTCTCTCTCTCTCTCTCTCTCTCTCTCTCTCTCTCTCTCTCTCTCTCTCTCTCTCTCTCTCTCTCTCTCTCTCTCACTCTGGTAGTGTCCCTAACGTGTTGATGCATAAGGTTTTCCAGTAACACCTCCAACATCTTAGCCCTCCACGTTTCTGGGTCTCCATGTGGCTCCAGGATTTCCCAGTCACCCACAACCACTTGCCACTTCGGCAAGTGTGTCGACCATGTCTCTGTAACACTCGTCATATTCTTCTCTTGGCCTTCTGCTGTTCAGAGGTGGGTTAAACATCACTGCAATTATTAACTTGGGACTTCCATTCTGAAGTGTTCCTATTATGTAGTCCCTTGCTTCTCCTGTGCCTTCCCTTTCCAACTCTTCAAAATTCCATTGGTTTTTGTTGAGTAGTGGAACTTCTCTACCCTTTCTATTCCCTCTGTCTTTCCTCAGGATCCAATAACCAGTTGTAAAGATGGCATCTATTATCAATCCCATAAGCTTGGTTTCTGTGAGAACTATGATGTCTGGTGCTGCCTCTGTGATTCTTTCGTGCCACTCCTCCCACTTATTTGTTATTCAGTCAGCTTTGGTGTACCAAACCTTCAGTTTCTTCCTCAGCACTGTATTTTGGGGGATTTGTGTGACTGAGGGGTGGGAGACCTGCCTAGTATGCTGTGGGGTTCTACATCATAGGGAGGAGTGTGAGATGTGAATGTGGAATATGGTGTGTTTTGTAGTAATATGTTTGGTTGCGGGGTTCTGTGGGTGTTTGCACTTGTTGTTCCTCTTGACTCTGGTTATCCCCTACTAGCTCTAGTCTTGTCTCTCTTTCTTGCCACTTTTGTTTCTCACCTTCTGTTGTTTCATTCTCGTTCTGTCGCGATCTAGAAACACCATCCAGTGTGTTGATGATTCCTTTAGTCTTCGTTTACCCTGCAGGATCCTGTTTTGCACCGTTTCTGTCTTGAAAATCATCTTGACTTGTCGATTTCTCTCTCTTGTGTACCCCTCTATTTTCTGAAAATTTATCGGCTCAGTCATGATCTCTCCTGTTTGTTTGATGATATTTTCAATCTTGGTTTTTCTCTCTGCCATCTTTCATCGTATGTACCCCTTTCCATTCCTGTTTGAAATTTTCAATCTTTTATTTGTCTCCCCCTGTCGTCCTTTGTATGTCATCCCTCAGGTGTCCTGAAGCCAATGAATTTAGTACATCATTTCCATCCATATCTCTGGGTCCAATTTAAACATCTCCATTGCTGATTTCCTTAACAGTTCCTGGATCACCTAGAGGCCTGATAACATCTCTGAGGTAGGCTTATCTCCTTCTCTTCCTTCAGTCCACTTCCTGACTGCTGTTCCTGTGCTAAACAGTATGTCCCTTTCACTCCTCAACATTTCCTGGCCTCCCAGTGGCCTGATAGGGCTACTACATAGGACTTATTTAATTCTTTTCCTTCAGTCCCCTTGTGGCTCATTCCCAGTTCTTGCTCTATGCAGCCATCCTCTTCCCCATATTATTGCCAAACTCATTTAGCCCCCTTTCCCATTGTTCCATCTTTCTCTTGAGCTCTGCTGGTTATTTTTCGTTTCCAGACCAATCTTCCTCGGTTCCCCTGTGTGTACTCACCTATTTGTGGTTGCAGGGGTCGAGTCATAGCTCCTGGCCCTGCCTCTTCGCTGATTGCTACTAGGTCCTCTCTCTCCCTGCCCCATGAGCTTTATCGTACCTCGCCTTAAAACTATGTATGGTTCCCGCCTCCACTACGTCACTTTCTAGGCTATTCCACGGCCTGACTACACTATGACTGAAGAAATACTTCCTAACATCCCTTTGATTCATGTGTGTGTGTGTGTGTGTGTGTGTGTGTGTGTGTGTGTGTGTGTACTCACCTAACTGTACTCACCTAATTGTGGCTGCAGGGGTCGAGACTCAGCTCCTGGCCCCGCCTCTTCACTGACTGCTACTAGTACCTCTCTCTCCCTGCTCCATGAGCTTTATCACACCTCATCTTAAAGCTATGTATGGTTCCTGCCTCCGCTACCTCACTTGCTAGGCTATTCCACTTCCTGACTACTCTATGGCTGAAGAAATACTTCCTAACATCCCTTTGACTCATCTGGGTTTTCAACTTCTAACTGTGAGCCCTTGTTTCTGTGTCCCCTCTCTGGAACAACCTGTCTCTGTCCACCTTGTCTATTCCATGCAGTATTTTGTATGTTATCATGTCTCCCCTAACCCTCCTGTCCTTCAGTGTCGTCAGACCGATTTTCCTTAACCTTTCTTCGTAGGTTATTCCCCTTAGCTCTGGAACTAACATTGTCGCAAACCTTTGCACTTTGTCTAATTTCTTGACGTGCTTGACCAAGTGTGGGTTCCAAATAGGTGCTCCATACTCCAGTATGGGCCTGACGTACAGTGTCCTGAGCGATTCCTTACTAAGGTATCGGAATGCTCTTCTCAAG